CCATCTGGGTAAGGGCAACGTGGTAGCTGATGCACTCAGCAGGAAAAGTGCAGGTATATTAGCTCATTTAATGGTTTCAAAATACAGGCAGATTTGGGCCACACAACAGGTTCGGCTTCAGAACTTGAGGAGAGTCACATGTTTGGGTCATCCGACTGTTCAGCCTTGAGTTAATCCAGAGAATAAGGAAAACTCAGTCAACTGATCCCACCCTAGTAGCCCTCCAGAATGATGCAAAACAAGGGGTTAGCTTAGAATTCCGAGTCTCCGCCGATGGGTTACTCCGATTTCAGGACAACGTGTGTGTTCCAGGTGACAGTGAGTTAAAGAAAGACATCATGACAGAGGCCCATAGCTCAAAGTTTGTCATGCATCCCGGAAGCACTAAAATATACCAAAGTATGCGACCCCGGTTTTGGTGGAACGGGATGAAAAGAGATATAGCCGACTTTGTGTCTAAGTGCTTGGTATGTCAGCAAGTCAAGGCAGAGCATCAGCGCCCAGGTGGGTTACTTCAACCATTACCGATTCCAGAATGGAAGTGGGAACATATCACTATGAACTTCGTGACAGGGTTACCTAAGGCACGCTCAGGAAATGATGTCATCTGGGTAATTGTTGACCGGTTTACCAAATTTTCCCACTTCTTAGCCATCCGGATGACTGATCTCTTGGACAAGTTGGCAAGAATGTATATCCGGAAAATAGTCAGATTGCATGGAGTCCCAGTAACAGTGGTGTCCGACAGGGACCCCAAGTTCACTTCTCGATTTTGGAGTAGCTTTCAGCAAGCTATGGGAACGAAGCTGTCCCTCAGTACTGCCTTCCACTCTCAGACTAATGGACAGTCAGAAATGACAATCCGTACACTTGAGGATATGCTCAAAACTTTGTCCTTGACTCTAGGGGCCACTCGGACGACCATCTACCCCTGATAGAGTTCGCCTACAACAACAGTTACCAAGCGAGTATTGGCATGATTCCGTATGAGGCGTTATATGGGCGCCCATACAGATCGCCGATTTGTTGGGAAGAAGTGGGCAATAGAAAATTGTTCGGCCCGGAGCTGGTAGAGGAGACTACATCCAAAATAGTTAAGATCAGAAAGAACATTCAGACGGCTCAGAGCAGGCAGAAGAGTTATGCGGACACTCGGATGAGAGATTTAGCGTTTGAGAAAGGCGACCGGGTGTTCCTTAAGGTCACTACTTTCAAGGGAATTAGTAGGTTCAGCGGGAGGGAGAAACTGAACCACTGATTTATTAGACCATTTGAAGTCTTAGACAGGATTAGTACTGCCGCCTACAGACTAGCACTGCCTCCAGAACTTTCTAAGGTCCACAATGTGTTTCATGTGTCCATGCTACGCAAATACAACCCGGACTCCTCTCATGTCTTGGCCCACGAATCTCTCCCACTTCAGGAAGCCTTATCATACGATGAAGTACCAATCGGTATTACGGATCGAAAGAGCATATTACTCCGCAACCGGAAAATTTCCTTTGTAAAGGTCGAATGGCAGAACCACACACCAAAGGAGGCTACATGAAGTACCAGTCGGTATCATACGACACTGACGCGGGAGGCCACGCGGGGAAGCCACGTGCGCGATCCGCATGCGCGCGATCGAACAG